AGATAGATAGATAGATAGATAGATAGATAGATAGATAGATAGATAGATAGATTGTTTTGCTATCTCCTCTACCAGTATAATTAATCCAAATAACTTCATTTTAGCATCAGGTAGACTCTTTGGACAAGGGCAAAAGGCAGCCATATTTTTGTCAGACTACCACAAGAATGACCTCTGGCCAACATAGTAAAAATCCCCCCACAGTTAAAATCATTCTCAGCACAATTGTCCTCCATGCTCCTACTATCTAGTCCACTAAGCAATCTATAGCTTTCCTAATCCAAAGTAAAATTCCTCCAGACAAAAAATATGGTCAGGCCTAATACAGCAATACCCCATTCCCTTGTACTAACTTCTGTCTTTGTCAGGATTTCTATTGCTGTGAAAAGACACTGTGACCACAGCAACACTTAATAAGTGTGTCTTACATTATCAAAATTTAGTCTATTATTATCATGGTGTGACATGGTGGCATACAGGCAGATATGGTTTTGAGGAAGTAGTTAAGTTTCCTATGTCTTGACTTTCAGGCAGCAGGAACTGATCTGAGACACTGGATGGAGCTTGAGCATATATGAGACCTCAAAGCCCACTTCCACAGTAGCACACTCCTACAACAAAGCTATACCTACTTCAACAAAGCCATACCTCCTAATAATGTTATTCCATATAAGCTTATGAAAGCCAACAGCATTCAAGATAACACACTCTGCCAATGCAATAAATTCAAATTTCTTCATTTTAGCCCCAGGCAGAAAAGGGCAAAAAAAACCTCAGACATATTCTTTGGCAAAATATCACAAGAACAGTCTCTAGGTCACATACTGAAATTCTACCCATCTGAAACATCTTGAGCCAGATCCCTACAGTTCAAATCACCCTCAACATCGCTCTCTTTCATGTTTCTACCAGTATAGTCCATTAAGCCTCATTTAAACTGTTCAACTGATTTTCTAATACAAAGTCCCAAAATTCAGATTCTTCCAAAAAAAACATGATCAAGTCTATCAAAGAAATACATCATCCCCTTGTTATCAACTTTTGCCTTAGTTAGGATATCTGTTGCTGTGAGGAGATACCATGCTGACATTTTATAAAGAAAAACATTTCTTTGGGGCTGCCTTACAGTTCAGAGTTCTAGTTCATAATTCTCGTGGTAGCATGAAGGCAGACATGGTACTAGAAAAGGAACTGAATCTTGATCTTAAGGCAGCAGAAGTGACTGTAACACAATAGACAGGCTTGAGTTTCTGCAACCTCAAAGCCCACCCCCTAGCGACACACCTGGTCCCTGAAGTCACATGTCCTCATGCCATGTCTCCTAATAGTGCCTGTCCCTATGAACTTATGGGGTCATTTTTTAAATTCAAATTCTAACAATAAATGCAATGATGAAGAAAATATCTCCTACAGTTAAAAACCTGAAGTGATAGAGTTCTATTAACTTGCTTAGGCCTATTCAGATAAACGGTAAAGTCGGAATTTCAACTTCTGTGATATTAATCCAGGACCCTGAGTTAGCTACTATGCATGCTACCACTTATTCTCTCTATAGTTTGCTTATCTTTAGGAAAAACTTAGGTTAATACAGCATATGAGGTTGTTATAAAATTCCATTGGCTTCACTCTTCAAAAATACTGTGTTTTCCTCAACTCTGCATTGCTCAACAGCAATTCTGCATATGATATCTGATATGTGTCCTTATTACCTTTACGATTTTAGAGAAAGCCAGGTCATTATTCACATTGTAGTTATACCATTTTAGTAATTTGAGAATCTAGATAAGGCAAAGAATACTACTAAATTTGCCCATGTAAACAAGGTCTTACAGTATTTTTATATTGTTGTCACTATTTAACTCTTTGTTTTTCTATATTACAGTACTTGGTAAGTATCTCTTTGAGTACAGAAACAGAGAACTCCTACATCTGTTTCCAGAGCTACATATTAAATAGAACTTACAAAATTCCTTTATATTTATTTGAGAATATACAACTTCATCTTACCACAATATGTCTTTGGTGGTTAGAATAGGAATGGCCCCAATAGATTCATATGTTTGAATGCTCGGCCCATAGGGAGTGGCACTATTAGGAGGTGTGACCTTGTTGAAATACAGGTGGCCTTGTTGAAAAAGGTGTATCACTGTAGGGTAAGGTTTGAGGCCACAGATGCTCAAGCTAGGCCTAGGTTAACATTCACTTCTACTGTCTTCAGATAAGATCAAACCGGATTCTCTGAATGTGGCTGACATGGGGACTGTCTGGGACTTGTTTCCTCTGCGTGTACTGGCTTTTTGGGATCCTAGTCTGTTTGGATGCTCAGCTTCCTAGACCTGGAGGGAGGGGGGAGGAACTTGAATTTCCCACAGGGCAGGAAACCCTGACTGCTCTTAGGACTGGAGAGGGAGTGGGGGGAGTGGGAGGGTATTGGGAGGAGTGGCGGAAGTGGAGATTTTTATAAATTAATAAAATAAATAAATAAATAAACCCACAAAAAAAGATGTAGAACTCTCAGCTCCTTCTCCAGCACCATATCTACATGCATGCCACCATGTTTCCTAATACAATGACAACGGACTAAATTGTTGACTGAGGTTTTCTTTGTCTTGCCCAGTTCCCACAATCATTAAGTCCCAAAGAAATCACACAGAGGTCTATATTAGTTATAAACTGATTGGCTCATTAGCTCAGGCTTCTTATTAACTCTTAAAACTTATATTAACCCATTATTCTTGTCTATGTTAGCCACATGGCTCGGTACCTTTTTCAGCAAGGCAGTCACATCTTGCTTCTTCTGTGTCTGGGCTGGGACTGCAAAGGAATGGGCTTCCTCCTTTCCAGAACTCTCCTGTTCTCCTTGACTCACCTAACTTCTTGTCTGGTTGTCCCACCTATATTTCCTGCCTGGCTACTGGCCAATCAGCATTTATTTAAAATATAATTGACAGAATACAGACCATTCTCCCACACCACTAAACCTCTGAAACTGTAAGTCATGACTAACTAAATGTTGTACTTCATGAGAGTTGCTGTGGTAATAGTGTCTCTTCAAAGCAAGTAAAAATTTTAACTAAGAAAATTCAGTGGGGTTCTTAAAATATGAAAGAAAGTTATAAAATGGTTATTTAGTTTCTACCATATAAGGAAAATTAATCTGTCTTTAACTTTTCTCTATGTAGGTATTAATAAATATATCAAATGATTCCACTAATGGAGGCTTTGGAAATCTAGAGCTATTCCCCATTTCCCTAAACTTTGAAGAAGAAAGCAGCCAGATGGAATTTGCAAAAAAAAAAAAAGAAAGAAAATAATGTCAAATCAAGCCTTAGAGAAGACAATCTTGAAAAAATAAATAAATCTCTGGGAAGATATCATCATTATATTAAGCATTCTTAGCATAAAAGTCAGATTTGCTAATAAAATCTCAGAATGCTACATAATACAAAGTAAATGCTTCCCCTAAAATGCATTTATTGTTTGCCTAGGGTTAAAAGATGATGGATGACAATTGCAGATGGAAGACAGTTGCTTTAGACAAATGTAGATCTATCTGATTTCTGCAGCTTCCCACTCACATTTTTACTGGTTTGAATTTGCTTTCTTTTTGCAGGTGTAATGGATGACGAAAGACTACTCGGTTACAGACTCGGTGTTGTGTTCATATGCCTCCTTCATATGGTAACACTGCGGGCAGGTACGAATCTCTCACTTCCCTTCATGGACCTTATCAATATCAAGTTTGTAAAGAAAGAAAATGTTACAGGCTCTTTTGCCAACTTGATGAAATCTATAATAACTTGAGGACAAGCCTCTGGTACGCCCATAGGAGATTATATTATGTAGGTGAACTAAGAAGGGAAGACCCTTCTATTATGAGTGGTCCAGTTCCCTGGAATGGAATCCTAGATTGTATGGAAAGGAATAAGCACAAGAACTCATTCCATCTTTGGTCATTTATAAAACCAGTTCCAACTATAGAAAATATTTTAATTTTAGATCTGAAACTCAAAAACAGATTTTTAGATATAAACACAGGCAAGGACTTTCTGAATAGATTTCCAACAGTTCAGAAAATAATGCCACAAACAGACAAATAGGATTGCATGAAATTAAAATGTCTCTGCACAGGAAAGAAAACATCAATTTAATGAATGTCCTACAGTATAACTTCTAACTCCACATTTCACAAAGGATAATATAGAGAATACATAAGAACTCACAAAACTAAATATCAAGTAATCCAAAAATTCAATCAATAAACCGTCTAATTAAATAGAGATCTGAAAATGAAGTACAAACAATCAATAAACTTATGAAAAAGTTCAACATGCTTAATTATCAGGGAAAATCAAATTAAATTACTATATGATTTTATTTACCATTGTTAGACTGACAGTCATTAAGAAAGCAGATGAATGCTGGCAAAGTATAGGAAAAAGTATGTTATACAGTTCTGTTCACAATCCAAATTAGTGTACACACCATTGACATCAACATGTAAGTTCTAAAACAAATAAAACAGATCAAAACTTAAGTTCATCAGTGATATTATTCAGCGGTGGCACCCTTGGGTATTTATTTAAAGGATTCTAAGTCAACATACCACATTGTTACTTGTACACCCATGTTTACTGCACCACTATCCACAGTAGCTATGGAGCTGACCTTTGTGTCCAGTAACAGAAAAATATATGAAGAAAAGAATATTCAACTACATAATAGAACAAAAAGTCATTTGAAGGAAAATAGATTCAACACATTGATGCAGACAATACATTTAAAGAAAATTAGTTCAAACAAAGAAAGACAAATACTGCATGTATCTTTAATTTGTGAGCCCTTGTAGTGGCATTTCATTTTTATATTAATAAATAAAGCTTTCCTGAATTTCAGAGAGCAAAACAGCCTCACTAGCCAGGCTTACAGACCAGGCTGCAAAAAAACACACCTTTAATCCCAGTAGCCACACTAGTTTGCCTTAGAAACTGGGTGGTGCATGCCTTTATTCCCAGAACTAGAGAGGATTATAAAACAGGAGGAGACAGCTCTCAGTCTCAGTCTCATTCTGAGATTCTTGGAGACAGGATACTATTTCAGAATGAGGTTGAGGTAAGAGCCAGGGGCTGGCTGTTTTGCTTTTTGAATCTTCAGGTTGAACCTCAATTTCTCTCTCTGAGATTTTATTAATTCTGCTTCAAGTCCTATATTTTAGATAGATATAAAAAGATGTGTTGGTATTTATAGCATGAAAATAGAAGTCAAACTAAGGGGTTGAAGACAACAGCAGGAGGAGAAGAGAGAGAAAAGAGTTTCTCCACACACCCCGTCATCCTTGTCACAAGTCAAATTTACCTATTATTTGTGTCTCTAAACTATTACATTGAGGTCTCTTCTTATGGACTAATTTGAGATTATAAGAACATTCACTGGATATATACAATAAATTTTAAGATCTTGTAGAGATATTCTAAACTTAACTGGGAGTGTGAAAGCAGAAATTTCTCTAAGAAGTTCATAGATATACTGTGTGTGTGTGTGTGTGTGTGTGTGTGTGTGTGTGTGTGTAATACAGAAGAGGTTGTGTGTTTCAGAAGGATAGGAAGAGCTGAATAATGAGAGAGAGTGGTAAAATGACGTAAATATGGTATGTATAAAGAAAAAAATTAATTTATTTTTTTGTTTCCTATATTCTGTTTTTTTTATTTATTATGGAACTCTTTAACTCTTTTTTTAAAGTTTTACCAGCAATACACACACACACACACACACACACACACACACATGCATGCACACATGCATATACACACACATGAGCATGCGCACACACACCCTACTGAGTACATTTATTGTTGCTCATATGTATGGCTATTTAAGACTGACCATTTGGGAATGAATAGCCCATGAGGGGCTGATTCATGGAGAAGACTGATTCTCCACTTTCTTGACCACCATTGATATTTTTTGTAGCTCTTCATCAAAGGGTGAATTAAACCTAGTGAGATTCCTTGCTTCCACAATAGCATGCCAACCTGTGTTGCTGTTACACCGGTCCTGTTTAATTGACCATATTGTTGAGGTTTCATGGGTACAGTTACCCTCTTATAAGAAATCACCATCTCACAGCGAACATCCTAGTCCTCTGATTTCTACAATTCTGTGATGTCCCTTAAGCCATGTGTGTAGGTGATATTTTGTAGATGTATTAATTGGAGCTGTGCACCCCATAGTTAGTTGTTCTTTGCATTTTGACAAATTGAGAATTTCGGTAGTAGTTTCAAATGCTTTAAAAGGAAGTTTTGCCTTTATATTCAGTATATTTGATCACATTATTTTCCCTCCCACCTCCTCCCAAATCCCCATACATCCTTTACCTTTACCTACCTGCATCATTCTTCCCTCTCTCTCTCTCTCTCTCTCTCTCTCTCTCTCTCAAAAAAAGTCAAACAGAAATGATTCAATCAGCAAAGTTCTTGCCACAGAAGGTTTTGTATAATAGGAGAAAACTACACTTATATAGAGATATGAGGATATGTCTTTTAGAATGCAGTTAGAAATTATACTAGTTTAGAAAAATAGCACTAGTAGGTTGTTAAAAACAAATTTGAACATGCAGTAGATAAGAATTTTTGAAAATAAAAATGTTAAGAACATTCAAGATTGTGAAACTTAAGCATAAAAACAAACATGCACAAGTGCTCATTACAATTATAAAATAATAACTCATAAAATCACTCAGAGAAAAAATGAAATAGAATGAAAGAAAGAAAAGTCAACCACTGAACTTATATAAATTATCTTAGGAAGTCATATAGCAGCAATAGAAATTAAACACATTTCATAAGGGAAGTAATTTGATGAGCCACCATTAAAAATGTGTAAAATTAAGATTTTTTTTCAGGTATGCTGAGGGAAAATGACCCACAACAAAAGCGTGTTTGTGTGTTGATTAAAGCTTTCACATTCTGGTTCTTGTTTCTCTTCCCAGAACAATTCACAGTGACTGGATTGGAGGGACCAGTCTTGGCTCCATTTGGGACTGTGCTGGAGCTCAGCTGTCAGTTGTCACCACCACAAAATGCTCAGCACATGGAGATCCGCTGGTTCAGGACCCACTATACACAGCCTATTCACCTATACGAGAATGGCAGAGACCTTTTTGGAGAAATTATTCCCAAATATGTGGAAAGAACAGAGCTTCGGAAAGAGGCCATTAGAGAGGGGAAAGTAACCCTTAGGATCTTCAATGTCAATCCTGATGATGACGGGAAGTACCACTGCTTCTTCAAAGATGGCAAGTTCTATGAAGAGCACATCACAGAAGTCAAGGTCATAGGTAAGCATGGATTCCTCTGAAACTAATTTCTAACTTCATTAAATTATTTACATAAGAAAATGTCCACTTATAAATTATGCAAGGAATTGAATCTTGGATGGTTTTGTTGATTTTCATAGTCTAAAAACTTAGCACAGTTGTTTTGATTTAATAAATAGCAGATATTTTACTAAGAGAAAAACTAAACGAAATAAAGAAGCTTATCATCAACAGACTTATTTAGAACAATACGTCTGCTTATTAGAACAATAGTTGATAATTGTATATTATAGCCTCTCCATGTTTACATTTGGTGTTATCTTTTTTCATTGATTATGACAAAGCCTTGTAGAGTTTTGACTATCCTTATATCTACAGACACCGGATTTAACATGGAGGAAGAGTGGTGTTCTTTTTCTCTTTCCAGCCACTATACACTACTGATTTCCCTTTGTTTATAACCAGCTGGGAGCTCCCAGATTCAGATTCTTGTCCATCCTCCTACTACCAAAGGGGTGATAGTGGAGTGTCACTCCAAAGGTTGGTTCCCACGGCCTCACTTGGAATGGAGAGATAGCAGAGGAGATATCATTCCAGCTGAATCAAAATCCTATTCACGGGATGAAGACAAATTGTTCAATATGAAGATGACCCTTCTCCTTCGAAACAGATCCCTCGGGAACATCACTTGTTGCCTTTGGAACCCTCTAATAGGCCAAGAGGAAAGCACAAGCATTGTTCTACCAGGTAAAATTCATGTAATCACTCTTGAAATAAGTTTTGCGTGGTTTGGGCTTGAAACAAAAGATGTGTGCTTTTCCATTTGGTTTTGGTTCATTACTTTCCCTTAATTTTATTTATCATCTAATCTGTTGTCTGACTGATTCCCCCTGCTAGATTCATTTCTTTCACCATTTTCCTTATACTGGAGATTTTAGTATGTGTGATCCTGTTTTGTTCTGTGTTGTCCTAGAGAAAAGTGTTGTTTGATATTTTTGATGTTTGGCTAAATTGCTACTCATTTCTTAAAATGTTTTATCAACATTGTTCATTGTAAAGAATAAAAAAAGCTGAGAAACACTTAAAAAATATTCAACATCCTTATCCATCAGGTCAATGTAGATTAAAACTGCTTTGAGATCTCATCCAAGTCAGAATGCTTATGTTAAATACAAGAATGACAAATGCTAGCATGGATATGGGGGGAGGGGGAAGCTTAATTTCTGTTTGTAGGAATGGAACTGGCAAAATCACTATGGGAATCAGTATAGAGATTCCTCAAAAAGCTAAAACCAGATCTACCTATGATACTTTTTCATGGATACTTCAAAGACTCTATAAATATTATTATAGAGACACTTGCTTACCCATACTCATTGTTGTTTTGTCCACAACAATTAGGAAATGGAAGCAACCTGGATTTTGAAACGTATTTACATAATAAATATTGGTGCGGGAGAATTATCTGTATTCTGTCAATCATATTTTAATAAAACACTGATTGGCCAGGCAGGCAGTATAGGCGGGAAAGCCAGACAGGAAGTAGGGGTGGAGCAAAGAGACTGGGAGTATTCTGGAAGCAGAAGCTCTCTCTCAGCCATTCCTGTACAGACCACCGAAGAGGCAACATGTAAGCTGTCACACCGAGAAAGGTACTGAGCCCATGTGGCTAACATAGATGAGAATAATGGGTTAATATAAGTTATAAGAGTTAACAAGAAGCCTGACCTAATGGACCAATCAGTTTATAACCTTATGGAGTCCTGTGTGTAATTTTTCCTTGGGAGTTGCCGGCTTTGGGGTACTGGGTGGGACAGAAACCTCAACAAGCCAGCCCTCATGCTACAAATGGCGCCAACGTGTGGACAACTGTATCCACATAAAGCCTGAGACAGCTTGGGAAGTAATTCTAGAACAAAATAACAGCATTATGCATGGTTTCTTGGTAGCAGCAATTTCTCGGGTCTACTTTGCTTGCTAGAGGCAAGCAAGGCTCTCATATAAGAGAGGCTTCCTGACTTAGCTTTAGCTGCAAAACCTTGCAGCTCATTAAGAGGTCCTGCCACGAAACACTTAAATGGTGTTTATCAAAAGCTGAACGTATGCTTTTCGGTTTTCAGCCGTAGCAGGAAAAAAGCTGCACTGTTTTAAAATGCCAACTTTCTGGGCTGTCCTGTCAGGGCAATCTCTGACTCTTTCAGGCAGGCAGTCCAACTGAGTGTGGTCTGTGAACAGAAGGCTGCAACTTGCTTGCTGCAAGGACCTTGAAACGCCATAGAGTTGTGGCAGTGAACACAGCTCTGGCTGGTATCTCAGTCATGAGACTGGAAAGTTAAGAAATGGGCTGGATCCAGCCATCAAAGCCATGGCTTTAATCCTCTCCTTAAAGACTCATGCAGTCAAAAAAGAGAGACAGATACAGTAAAGAGAGATTCAAAGACAAAGAAAACCTCTAAATGGTTTACAGTGTGTTAAAAATATATGCAGGCTAAAAGTTAAAGTTCTTAAAGTAAAGAAAGGGAGAAACAGGGTGTGGTGGTACACACCTTTAATCCCAATACCTGGGAGGCAGAGGCATATTGACCTCTGTGACTTTAAGGGACAGAGGTAGTTGACCTCTGTGACTTCAAGGTGTGGTAGCACACACCTTTAATCCCAATGCCTGAGAGGCAGAGACAGACAGATCTCTGAGTTCAAGGTGTGGTAGCAAACACCTTTGAGCCCAGTACTGGGGAGGCAGAGACGGAAGGATCTCTGTGAGTTCAAGGACAGCCTGGTCTACAGTGTTATTCCAGGACAAAGATATACAGAGAACCTGTCTCAAAAAGTAAAAGTAAAAATAAAAGAAATAGAGGTTAAAGTAAAGCCACACAAAGATGGAAAATACACAGAGAATCTTGATACTGTATGCCATTATGCTCTCTTTGACTTGTTTGAATGCTGAGGAAGGAGCAACAGTTGCTAGAAGACTTTTGTTTATAAATGCTGCTGAATTAACCCAAGATAGGTATTTTGAAAATACCTTGGATTCAGAACTGAAGTCAAAGGGTATGATACTTTGGAGAAGGGATTTTGCTTTTGTTTCCACAGAAAATGAGAGGCTGTGGATTCATTCTGAGTTAAGAAAAATCAGGTTCGAAAAAGGAAGGCCACCTGAGAAATCTCCAATAGGAACAGATGGCCCAGAAGACAGAATTCTACATCCAGAACAGGTTCAAGACTGCTGCCTGAGATGATCAAGACTCACAGGATACTTCAGTCAGGACTTGATTATAACTCTACATTTTCTTTAGGTCCCCATAAGATTATCAGCACCCCCAACCAGCAGGAAGTAGCCTGAAATACTACGCCCACATTCCCAACAAATGGACTATGGGTATTTTCCTTTGTTTTAAAAAAAAAAAAGAGGGAAATGGTGCGGGAGAATTATCTGTATTCTGTCAATCATATTTTAATAAAATGCTGATTGGCCAGGCAGGCAGTATAGGCGGGAAAGCCAGACAGGAAGTAGGGGTGGAGCAAAGAGACTGGGAGTATTCTGGAAGCAGAAGCTCTCTCTCAGCCATTCCTGTACAGACCACCGAAGAGGCAACATGTAAGCTGTCACACCGAGAAAGGTACTGAGCCCATGTGGCTAACATAGATGAGAATAATGGGTTAATATAAGTTATAAGAGTTAACAAGAAGCCTGACCTAATGGACCAATCAGTTTATAACCTTATGGAGTCCTGTGTGTAATTTTTCCTTGGGAGTTGCCGGCTTTGGGGTACTGGGTGGGACAGAAACCTCAACAAGCCAGCCCACATGTTACAAAATATTATTCAACTATTAATAAAAATTAATTAAAGCTGGTTTTGTTACTATGGTATTGTAGTATAACTTGAGTTAGATGTTGTAATACATGAAGCATATGCAACCAACAAATTTTGATGTAGAAAAAAGGACTCTAGAACTACTTACACAACTATGTTTATTTCATCACTTATGATAATGAAATTGTGAACATGCAAATGGGTAAGCAAATGTGATATGTATTTTATTCAGCCATAAAGAAGAATGTTATTGCATCACTTGCTGGAAAACATGCAGATAGTGATCACATAAAGTGAAAATAGGCAAATTCAGAAGGACAAATACCACATTTGCTGTCATTTGTAGAAACACACAGATAAATAATAGCAGAGGGGATAATGGAAGAAGGACTAAGAGTATTGAAAGGAATGGTGAGAGAAGAGAAAGGGAGGGAAATATAAAGCTTGTGATTGTGAAATTGTCAAATTATGAAAGCTGGATCTAAATGTCATGAATTTACCAATGTTAAAAAGTAATTAACTACATCAATATATGGTGCAACACATCTTCTTGATGCACTGTTCCCTTTATCCATATACAATATAACATATTTTAATAGAGATAAAGAGATATTCTTAATGCTTGTAAGTTTTTATTGAATCTCCCTCTTCCAATGTAAGCATCCACACTGTCCTATGTAACATGAGGGGGCTGGCTTGTTTGTGTTTTCTGTCTCTCCGCCCCCCCAGATGTTTAGTCCCAGAGAAAAATCACACAAGAGATCTCTATAAGTTATAAAGCTGATTGGCCCATTAGGTCAGGCTTCTTACTGGCTAACTCTCACATCTTGATTAACCCATTTTTCTAATCTATGTTAGCCATGTGGCTCAGTACTTTTTTCAGTGGGGCAGCTCACATCCTGCTGCTTCGGTGATCTGGGCAGGAGTGGGAGGAATCAACTTCCTCCTCTCCAGAATTCTCCTGCTCTCCTTGCATCATTTACACTTCCTGTCTGTTTTTCCCACCTATACCTCCTGCCTGGCTAATCAGCATTTATTTAAAACATGATTGACAGAATACAGACAATTCTCCCACACCACTTCCCCCTCTTTAAAAAAAAAAAAGGAAAATATCCATAGTCCATTTGTTGGGAATGTGGGCGTAGCATTTCAGGCTACTTCCAGCTGGTTGGGGGTGCTGATAATCTTATGGGGACCTAAAGAAAAATTTAGAGTTATGATCAAGTCCTGACTGAAGTATCCTGTGAGTCTTCTCAGGCAGCAGTCTTGAACCTGTTCTGGATGAAGAACTCTGATATCAGGCCATCTGTTCCTACCGGCGATTGCTCAGGTGGTCTCCCTTGGTCAAAGATGATTTTTCTTAACTCCAAATAAATCCACAGCCTCTCATTTTTCTGTGGAAACAAAAGCAAAATCTCTTCTCCAAAGTAACATACCTTTTGACTTCAATTTTGAAGCCAAGGTATTTTCAAAATACCTATCTTGGATTAATTCTGCAGCATTTATAAGCAAATACCTTTTAGCAGCTGTTGTTCCTTCCTCAGCATTTAAACAATTCAAAGAGAGCATGATAGCATACAGTATCAAGATTCTCTGTGTATTTTTCATCTTTACGTGGCTTTATTTTAACCTCTATTTCTTTTACTTTTACTTTTAACTTTTGGCTTTTTGAGACAGGTTCTCTGCAAATCTTTGTCCTGGAACTCCCCCTGTAGACCAGGCTATCTTTGAATTCCCAGAGATCCGTCTGTCTCTGCCTCCCCAGTGCTGGGATTAAAGGTGTGTATCACCACACCCAACTACTCTCTTTCTTTCTTTTTTATTATAAGACTTTAAACCTTTTTTTTTCAAGTCTACATATATTTTTAACACACTGTAAACCATTTAGAGGTTTTCTTCCTCTTTGAATCTCTCTTTACTGTATATCTCTCTTATTCTGACCACATGGCTCTTTAATTTGCTAAGGAATATGGAGAAGACAATAGTCAAAAGCTCCTATGGTGTTTCAAGATCCTTGCAAGGAAGCAAGCTGCAACATTGTTTACATAGTCTGGACTGCCTGCTTGAAAGAGTCAGAGTTTTCCCTGGCCGGATGGCCCAGAAAGCCGGCATTTTAAAACAGAGCAGCTTTTTTCCTGCTACAGCTGAAAACTGAAATGCTTTACTCTAATCTTTCCCAAGCGTTCCCAGGCTTTCTGTGGATTCAGTTATCCACGTGGGCGCCATTCTGTAACATGAGGGGGCTGGCTTGTTTGTGTTTTCTGTCTCTCCCCCCCCCCCGAGATGTTTAGTCCAATGTAAGCATCCATGCTGTCCTAGTTTGCATTCTATGACTGTGATAAACTCCATGACCAAAGGCAACTTGGGGTGAAAGTTTGATTTGGTTTACACTCCCAGGTCATAGCCCATCATTAAGAGAAGTCGGAGCAAGAACTCAAGTAGAAATACAGGCAGAAGCCATATAAGAAAGCTGATTACTAGATTGTTCTCCATGGCTTAATTGGTTTTCTTCCTTCCTTCCTTCCCTCCCTCCCTCCCTCCCTCCCTCCCTCCTTCCTTCCTTCCTTCCTTCCTTCCTTTCTTTCTTTCTCTCTCAAAACAGAGTTTCTCTCTGTAGCCCTGGCTGTTCTGAAACTCTGTAGGTCAGTCTGGCCTCTACTCACAGAGCTCCACCTGCCGCTGCATCTGCTTCCTGAGTTCTGGGCATTATTTTTTTCTTATTCAACCCAGGACCAGATACCCAGAGTTGGCACTGTTTTAGGTTCTTCCTCATCAATCATTTTTTCTCTCCTACACGAGTCATTAATCAATAAAACGTCTCAGAGATAGGTCCATGGGCCAGTCTGATGAAGGCAGTTCCTCAAACAATATCCTTTCCTCCAAGATCACTGGAGTTTGTGTCAAGTTGACACAAGAACTAACCAGTACACCTGCCTTTTCATTGCTTCTGCTCTCTGCACATGTAATTTTACCATCATTCAGTGAAAACATTGGCATTGCATGTGTCCTAAGAGTTCAGATAGAACTGAAGCATTGATTTGAAACTGACTGTATTAGCTCCCTGGAAACCTGTGACTTATCCCTATGGGGAAAGAATTTTTACTTTCCCTCTTACAGTATAGTCAGGAATTTCATGAGACAAAAATGATGGAAAAAAATAGAGAGAATGACTTTTAGTCTTTGCATCAACTTCATACAAATTTGCACCTATGATACTTTTTATACAGTTCATATATGCCTCTCCAAACTGGCCTAAATTTACCATTCCAAGGTGATAGGATTGGAGAAGATTTGGATATGGCTCTCCTATTTGGGTTGATCCAAAATTTCTGAATTATCTGCGTTGTAAAATTTGTGGTTTTCTATTTCAGATGAAATATTTTCTTGGAACACTATTTGGTGGATGATTGTGATCGTAATTCTGATTGTGATGGCACTCTTCATCATAATTCACAGTTGTAAACTACATGTCATGGAAGGTAAGTATGTTTTCAGGAAGAGAGAATCAAAATGGAATAGGGAGAGAGAATTAACACTGTATGATGTTTTATTTGGAAGAGTGTCTGCAAGAATATTATCATGGGTCATACATTAGACATATATCTTTGTCCATAAAAGTCCCTCTCTTGCTGATAAAAGATTTTTGTGACTGCCTTAATTTATTTGCATCAGTCAAAATGAAACTTCCGATTCCTGTGATGATAGATACAAAAAAATGGAAAGTTTTATAATATTCAACATTTGTACATCCTTCTCTTTTGATTTCTTCGGGGTTCCATTGGGCTCACTGAGGGCAGAAAGTAAAGATCTAAACTTAACATTGCAGAAATGGCTACATAGTTTTCATTCAATACAACCCCAGGAAAATTGAACCTATAGGGAGAGGTATACCAGTTGGACTATCAGATGATCTGTTTTCCCAGGAGGAAAAAAAAATGCATTTCTTTTCAACAGTGTTATACTTGGAGGAAGTGAACTTAGAAAGTCACAAAAAAATTAAAACACAAATATACAGCTGTTCAGGTTTTAAAGATGTACTAATTTTAATAACCTTGAACTGACAGATTCCTTCATAAGCAGCTCTATCTTTTCAGTGCATGTTCAAGATCTTTGAAAATTCTCCCACGTGCAGCTTAGTTAAGTTAATCTAAGTGTTAGTTAAGGATTTGGGTGTCAGCACTTCTGTGTTTCTCTCCTATTCTTTGACTTCCCTTTTCATTCCCAGCTGAGCTCCCTCCCTGAGCTCTACTATCTGAATTAAAACAGCTGGCATTCTCCCAAAGTGCATCTAACTCTCACAGCACAAAGCCAGACTTGCTACGTTTATTCTTCTTTATTGCTGTTTGGCAAAAGTAAACTCACACTTAACTTGTTCGCTTCTTGACACAATCTAGTTTTTTTTTAAAGAAGTGGGGCTTTGTTGTTTTTTCCCTGCATCACTGCATGCCCTTCTTCAGAATCTCAGACCCCTCTTTGAGAGACTTGTATTTAGAGACTCTTCTAAGAACAATTTTGCCACCCAAATCCCATCAAATTATTAAGGCTTTATCTCTGGTGCATGTTGAGCCGGCAACATTTTATTCATCTTGTCTTCAAAGTGCTTCTAGATCATTCTAAAAGATGCAGAGTTGATCTTATAGTAAAAATTAGTCATATCATCGTAAGATGCTAGCACTAATTGAGGCTTAACTATTGACAAACCTTACTCCAAAAGCCTTACAAGTAGTAAGTATTGTAACCTGTGTTGCATATATTTAATCAAATATTATTACTAAAGAATTATCTATTAAAATTATGAACAAATATAAGATTTATTAAATGTTAAGATTAAATATTAAAATAGCAAAAATTAAAATTTGAACCTAAATCACATGGATATTAGTGCTAGGTAAAAGACAATATAAGTTACACAAATACTCATATCTTACACTTTATTTATTTAGATTTGACTGTGCCTATAATTTTCTTGCAGAGGAATGAATACTACCTAATTGTGAAACACTTTCTTGTTATTTAAAAAACTTTTTTCATTTTATATGCCAACAAAAGTTCCCCCTTCCTTTTTTTCTCCTGCACCCCACTTCCTCCCTTCCCACCCCACCTCCTCCCTTCATACCCCCATCCACTCCTCAGAGGGAGTAAGGCCTCCCTTGGAGAGTCAAAAAAGTATCAAGGTTGAACAAGATATCCCATCACAGGGAAGGGGCTCCAAAAAGGCAGTTCATGCACCTAGGATAAGTCCTGGTCCCACTGCCTGGGCTGACACCAACAGATAAATGCACATAACTGTCACCCACATTCAGAGGGCTAGTTTGGTCCCATGCAGGTTCCCCAGATGTGGAACACTTTCATAAAGAGAAGACACAGCTGAATTCTTCCACTATGATATACACTAAAAAATATTTTAAAGGTCCTTTCATCAATAAAATTCTTCATTATTTAAAGCTTTTTATTTGACAAGTTACTAGATTGAATATTGTATTTTGGGGCATTTTCACTCTCTCATTAACCCTTTGACGTCCTCATAACCCCACTGAATATCTTCCTCACAGGAAATACACTGCTACTTTCATGTTACATTTTTGTTTTGTTTTATTGGGTTTTGAAATCCATTGACTTTAATTTATGAGTTGTTATTTCCTGAAACATGGGAAACTTAACAGTGGCTACATCACTGAAGAAAATTAGTTACCCTTCTCTAGCAACTACCAGCAGCCAGATACTCATAAGCGTGTGGGGGTTAGGTCTTTTAGGAGAAGACAAAGCTAACAAAAGTTATTAAGACAGATATCTAAAAAGATGAAATAGGGGGAAAGTGATGTAGACAAGAGCAGAGCAGAACAGGGCCGAGATGTCCTGCTCCAAGGATCTGATCTAGTCAAGAAAATCAAATGGGACCCGAAAAGTGACCGGCCTGATGCTGGTTTTATCCAGACTTGCTCATGTTCTTTCCCTACCCCTGGGAATTCCACTGTTAGGGTTAGTCCTGGTCTCATTGCTGAGTGTTTCTTTGGTTGATTGGATTACTGATGCTTTCCTAAGACAATCTTCAGTGCTTCACAGGTGGAACTTCAGATCTGGTCACACCTGTGAAAATTCCTTCTGAATTCAATGGTGAATGTCAGCTTCATTTTCATGCAGTTCCCGAAAATTGATTGGAATCTGTGTAAAGATTCGTCTCTCCAGATTTTCAGATCAATAAATTATATTCAGGCCTGATTCATGGTTCACTTTTTTATAATCTCATAGTGTTCTGTTTATGAATTTTAGTGTATAGTTCTATATCACTTAGCATGGTTCGCCTAGGGTCTTGAGCTACTGAACCACCATGATAAGCAAACGTCTTTTTGAAATGGCATCTTGCTTCTGATTTTTTGATTGTCAGTGTTCAAGCATCCTGTGCCAAGTGGAGAATGTCTCCTTACTTCTTTATTACTGTTGTTTCCCTGGGCATGGCCTTATTGTCCACCTGTATCCAGGACCCTCAGATCACGGTCTTTCTATTTTTCCTAGATTATCTCCTGGAGAGCAAGGCTGACTGTGCCTGAATGACAAGAACCATCTTAAGTCCTCGTGATGAAATTTTTCTATCCAAAGAGTACAGATCTCAGGCAGTTCACAGTTCTTTAGAATTATCTAATTCCCAGCATCTTTAAGGCTCAGATAAAATGACAGTGACAACCATGACCATTATATTCTGCTCTCCACCCCACTGACGGATAGATGAGAGAAAGACAAACGTGATCTGTCTTTTCTAAGTATGTTTGTCCTCCACCCAATACCATCTCCATCCTAAAATCAACTGTGCTTTTTGTTCCTGTGACCAACAGTTCTCTGATCTTTTACTTTTTGGCCTTAGCACTATTTGAAATATAGAAAAATGACATTAAAATGTAGACCTTAATGTGTATATGTTCCACACCTTTATTAACCATTCTTCTATTGAGGGGCACCTAGGTTGTTTCCAGGTTCTGGCTATTACAAATAGTGCTGCTATGAACATAGTTGAACAAATGCTTTTGTAGTATGATAGGGCATCTCTTGGGTATATTCCCAAGAGTGGAATTGCTGGGTCCTGAGGGAGGTTGACTCCCAGTTTCCTGAGAAACCGCCACACTGATTTCCACAGTGGCTGCACAAGGTTGCATTCCCACCAACAATGGATGAGTGTTCCCCTCATTCCACATCCTCTCCAGCATAGGCTATCATTGGTGTTTTTGAGTTTGGCTATTCTGACAGGTGTAAGATGATATCTCAAAGTTGTTTTGATTTGCATTTCCCTGATCGCTAAGGAGGTTGAGCATGACCTTAAGTGCCTTTTGGCCATTCGGAGTTCATCTGTTGTAAATTCTCTGTTCAGTTCAGTACCCCATTTTTTAATTGGGTTAATTAGAGTTTTAGTGTCTAGTTTCTTGAGTTGTTTGCATATTTTGGAGATCAGACCTTTGTCTGATGAGGGATTTGTGAAGAGGAAACCCTGACTGCTCTTAGGGATGGAGAGGGAGGAGGGGAGGGAGTGGGGGGACTGGGAGGGTGGTGGGAGGAGGGGCGGAAATGGAAACTTTTATAATTTAATAAAATTACAAAAAAAAATGTAGACCTTGCCCCTTTTCCTTAAAGTTCCCGCCAACAAATAACCAGTGATTTTAACACTCTCTTTCTTTAGGTCACTGCTGCAAATGCCACTACTCTTGCTGTGTGATCATGGTGATAACCGCTCTTTCTGTTCTTACACTTGCATTACTCATCTTCGTTTTGTACCAAAAAAATAGAGGTATGTGATGTAAAGAAGATGGTATCTTTCTATAAATCTTTTTTTCCAAATGCCTAGTCACAGCTTAGTAGATAGAGACTTAAATCAATTTGAATTTGAAGACGATAGACTCTGAAACACATCATGATGTTTGGATTCCAGTCTCTGGGGTTTTATGGGTTTAAAGACACAAAGTAATGGTACATCTGCTACTGAACATTTTTCTTCAGTTTGATAATATTATTTTTGACATTACCACTTTACTTAATAAGTTAATTTGATCATCCCAAATCTTTAGGCTAGATATATAATATCCGACAGGAGGAGATAATAATTCAACAGAGCTTAAATGTCTTAAATGACAGATTTCTTCTTGCAATTGATGTCCAAAAGATGACTTGCTCCTCAAAATTATTCACATTTTCTCAGAATTTTTTTCTCATTTTCATGATGGACATTAACACCCATAATGGACTCCTCTTCTCTTTGAGAAGGAAGTTGAAATGGCAATTGTGAAACTTTAGAGATAGTTGAATGTAACTTATTTAAAATGTATACTCTACCTTTAATTTGCACGATAAAGCACTTAATTAAAAAAAGTGCAACTGTGCATGAAAAGCCCCACTGCAGAAGTCTTAAATTAGAGGACATTTTTATATTGTTTAGATGATTTGAAGGCACAAATTACCTTAATTAAAATTAAGCAAAAAGAGAATTTTGCTATTATCTTACACTGTGATTCTACTACATCCACACATAGGCAAACATCTAAGACATTATGATTAACTAGTCATAAAAGAAAAATACTGTACCATTCCATTTTTATCATTACATTCCCACTATTCAATAGTGTACAAGTGTTCCAACTTTTTTAATTTATAAAAGTTTATTAATTTATAAAAGTTTCCATTTCCACCCCTCCTCCCAACACCCTCCCACTCCCCACACTCACTCTCCTCCTCCCTCTCCATCCCTAAGAGCAGTCAGGGTTTCCTGCCCTGTGGGAAGTTCAAGTTCCTCCTCCCTCCCTCCAGGTCCGGGAAGGTGAGCATTCAAACAGACAGGATCCCAAAAATCCAGTATGTGCAGAGGAAACAAGTCCCAGTGTCATTGTCAATGGCTTTTCAGAAAGACTGCCTGCCAGCCACATTCAGAGAATCCGGCCACATTCAGAGAATCTGGTTGGATTGCATGCTCGTTCAGTCCCAGTCCAACTGGCCTTGGTGAACTCACATTAGATCAGTCCCCTTGTATCAGTGGGTGAACGCACTCCTCACGGTCCTGCCTTTCTTGTTAATGTTCTCCCTCCTTCTGCTCCACATTTAGACCTTGGGGGCTCAGTCCAGTGCTCCAATGTGGGTCTCTGTCTCAATCTCCATACATCAATGGGTGAAGGTTCCCTCTGATCTTACCTTCTTTGCTCACGTTCTCTTTCCTTCTGCTTCTCATTTGGACCTAGGGAGTTAAGTCCAGTGTTCCAATGTTGGTCTCTGTCTCTATCTCCATCCATCGCCAGATGAAGCTTCTATGGTGATAAGCAAAATATTCATCAGTATGGTTATGGACCAAGGCCAGTTCACGCACCCTCTCCTCTGTCCAGAGAACAATCAGGGGATCTCTCCTTGGACCTGAAAACCCCTTTATAATCAAGTCTCTTGTAAACACGAAAATGACTCCCTTAGTTGAGATATTTACTTCCCTGCTCCCATATCCATCCTTCCTCCCTCCCCCCATCCCAGTCCCCCGAGCTTTCCCCATTCCTCGCCTGCCTACTCCCTTCTCTCTAACCCTCTCCCCTTCCAACAACCCCCCATGCACCTGAGGTTGCCTGGCACTCTTGTCTACTTGCAATCTCCAGGAGGATAACTGCATGATTTTCTTCAGGTTCACCTTCTTATTTAGCTTCTCTAGGATCACGAATAATAGACTCAAAGACCTTTAATTATGGTTAGAATCCACTTATGAGTGAATACTTACCATATTCCTCTTTTTGGGTCTGGGTTACCTCACTAAGTAAAGCGTTTTCTATATCCATCCATTTGTGTGCAAAATACAAGATGTCATTGTTTTTTACCGCTGAGTTAAACTCCAATGTATTTATGTTCCACACCTTTTTTAACCATTCTTCTATTGAGGGGCACTTAGGCTGTTTCCAGGTTCTGGCTATTACAAATAGTGCTGCTATGAACATAGTTGAACAAATGCTTTTGTGGTATGATAGGGCATCTCTTGGGTATATTCCCAAGAGTGGAATTGCTGGGTCTTGAGGGAGGTTGACTCCCAGTTTCCTGAGAAACTGCCACACTGATTTCCACAGTGGCTGCACAAGGTTGCATTCCCACCAACAATGGATGAGAGTTCCCCTCTCTCCACATCCTCTCCAGCATAGGCTATCATTGGTGTTTTTTACTTTAGCTAATCTGACCGGTGTAAAATGGTATCTCATAGTTGTTTTGATTTGCATTTCCCTGATCGCTAAGCAGGTTGAGCATGACCTTAAGTGTCTTTTGGCCATTCGGAGTTCTTCTGTTGAGAATTCTCTGTTCAGATCAGTACCCCCATTTTTTAACTGGGTTAATTAGAGTTTTAGTGTCTAGTTTCTTGAGTTCTTTGTATATTTTGGAAATCAGACCTTTGTCTGATGAGGGGTTGGTGAAGATCTTCTCCCAGTCAGAAGGTAGCCTTTTTGTCTTACTGACAGTGTCCTTTGCTTTACAGAACCTTCTCAGTTTCCGGAGGTCCCATTTATTCATTGATTCTCTTATTGTCTGTGCTACTGGGGTTCTACCTAGGAAGTGGTCTCCTGTGCCTATGTCTTGTAGACTACTTCCCACTTTCTCTTCTATCTGGTTCAAAGTGGTCAGATTAATGTTGAGATCTTTAATCCATTTGGAATTGAGTTTTGAGCATGGTGATAGATATGGATCTACTTTCATTCTTCTACAGTTTGACATCCAGTTACGCCAGCACCATTTGTTAAAGATGCTTTCCTTCTTCCATTGCACACCTTTAGCTCCCTTGTCAAATATCAAGTGTTCATAGGTTTGTGGGTTAATATCTGGGTCTTCTATTCGATTCCATAGGTCGACTTCTCTGTTCTTATGCCAGTACCAAGCTGTTTTCAATACTGTAGCTGTGTAATAGAGTTTGAAGTCATGGTTGGTTATACCTTCAGAAGTTCCTTTATTATATAAGATTGTTTTGGCTGTTCTGGATTTTTTGTTTTTCCATATAAAATTGATTATTATTCTCTCAAGATCTGAGAAGATGTTTGATGGGATTTTGATGGGTATTGCATTGAATCTATAGATTGCTTTTGGTAGAATTGCCATTTTTACTATGTTGATCCTCCCAATCCAAGAGCAGGGGAGATATTTCCATTTTCTGGTATCCTCCTCAATTTCTTTCTTCAAAGACTTAAAGTTCTTGTCAAATAGGTCTTTCACTTCCTTGGCTAGAGTTATCCCAAGATATTTTATGCTATTTGTGACTATCGTGAAAGGTGAAGTTTGTCTGATGTCCCTCCCTGCTTCTTTATCCTTTGTGTGTAGGAGGGCAACTGATTTTTTGGAGTTGATCTTGTATCCTGCCACATTACTGAAGGTGTTTATCAGCTGTAGAAGTTCTTTGGTAGAGTTTATGGGGTCGCTCATGTATACTATCATATCGTCTGCAAATAACGAGAGTTTAACTTCTTCCTTTCCAATTAGAATCCCCTTGATCCCCTTATGTTGTTGTCTTGCTATTGCTAGAACGTCAAGTACTATATTGAAGAGGTATGAGGAGAGTGGACAG